ATATTGTAATAATACAAACTGAAATGAACAAGAACATGTTGTCCAGTCTTCCTTATAGTACACTTCCAAAAACAGAAGAGACTAAAGCAGTTCCTAACAGACAGTAATCAGCAGTATATACAGTTGAGGTAGAGACTAAAGCAGTCAGTGATTAGCAGTAGTCAACAGGTAATGATAGTCAGGGCTGAAGGTGCTACAGTAGTGAGGGAAGGCTGCAAGGGCTGCTGATAGTGTATGTGGTCAGTCTATATATCTACACCTTTGCACGGCTTCACCTTCAGTTCAAATAATAATTTGTTTTTCTAAATAACAAAAATAATTAACAACAGCAATAATAAATATTTTCAATGTTTGTACGGACGAGTGGAGAGTAAATGTAGTCTTGAAGGTGTGTCAGTTGGAGGGGGTGTGGCTAGTAAAGGAGGAGGTCTGACATTGTACGGTAATACACCAAGGGAATGAGACGAATAAACTGCTGAAACTGGTACTGGAATGAAACCAGCACTAGCACTGGTGGGTGTAGCTCCTCCAGTAGGTGTGGTTCTAGCAATGGGTGTGGTTCCTCCAGTGGGTGTGGTTCCTCCAGTAGGTGTGGCTTCATGTTTCTTGAGTAGTTCGTTAACAACAGACAGTTCAATCTTGTGCTGTATGGTTCCATTTCTGCATTTATCATAGACCAATGGTCTTAAACGTTGCTTCAATCTCTTCAATTCTTCAATAGAGCCATTCCTTGTACTAGCCAATACACGTTTTAATGCATCATTTCTTTCTGTATAGTATACAAGACTCATCATATTAGTTTACTCATAATATACTGACCTGGGTCATCACCATGCTTCCTTTCTCTCCCTCTCCTTCCTATCCCCCTGTCTCTCCCTCTCCCTCCTCCTCTCATAACTGCATCCTCTGGTTCCTGTTTATCTTCATGTTCCTCTTTCAATTCCTGTTTCTGCTGTTGGTGTTGCTGCTGCTGCTGCTGGTGTTGTTTATTATTTCTCTCCTTCCCTTTCTCTCCTCCTGTACCTACAAACACAAGACAAATACAAATATGTGTACATTATACAGTACACAATATACATACATACATTATGATAAAGTGATGGTGTATGCTGTTCTTACTGGTGGTACTACAAGACTCTGCTCTGTGTCCTCTGGAGTTGCACTTATCACAAATCAAAAACTTGGGAGCTTTAAATTTACCACATAATACAAATTCATTAATTAATTCATCCTAAAATAATTAATGATAATAATAATGACACTTAATAATGACACATATGTACCAGGTGCTTCCAGTGCTTGGGTTTTGTGTGATGTTTGTAAGCTCTTTGAAACCTCATCAACATGTAAGTCCTCACTGCAATAAATGGATAATATTAGTTAGTTATTATAATCATTAATACTTCTGCTAGATACAGCCTGTCCAAGGTTATGCTCCAAGTTAAAAGGATCTTCAATTCCCATGTGCTTTGATGTCCACCATTTCTTAAACTTTGTTAACTTGTCCAATTGTTTAATTGTTACCACATCAGTCGACCAATCAAAATCCATAGCATAATATCTGTCAATCAAATAATTAATTAATTAATCAATTAATTACTGATATCATATACTTCAGAAATCCAATCCATAGCTCAGCTATACTCATCCTGTTCCTCTCAACTGGTTTCCATACCTCATACTGTCAATGGAGTATAATGTAATGACAA